AGCAAGGGCTAAAAAAGTTGCACTTTCTGATTATGAATGTTCCCGACATGAAGAAATGCTAAGTGCTTAAGGTGATGGATATGCCACTCACTCTGATCTGATCATTGTACATTGTGTGTATGTATTAAAAGGATATACTGCACCCATGTACAGTTACTGAACGTCAATTAAATTTTTTTGAATATATCTTTTCTCCTCATCCCTGTCACCATTAATATAACCAACTTCCTTTGGGACTATTCTTAATAGGTAAATCTAGGAGTGCTATTTTGCAAGCAGGGTTACTTATCCCATTGTATAGATCTTCAGCCTACAATACACCAGAGCTCCCATACGTGGGTCCCCTGTTCATGCTACACTCATGTGGGAGACTTCTCCTCACATGTTTGGCTTAGTTGTGATTCTCTGAACATGGAAACAGTAGCCCCGCCTTTCTACTCCTGTCCATTCAAGCTTTGCATATGTCTCAAAGCCTGCAGCAGGATACTGCAAAGTAGACCTCCACAGTGCTCCCTGGAAAGTGGTCAGAGGAGAGGAGTTCACCATTCAGTAAAGTCTCAGGTCACAAGCTTATAAGAGCAGAGAGGACCTAGGTAACATCCAATAGCACACCTTAATTTGATAGGAAAGGAAACAGGAGGTCAAATATAAGCAAATGTCAGAGCAGCTCATATTAGAACATAAGACTCCTTAAAGGCCAGTTAAAACATGAAACCCATTCAAGCCTCTTTTCTACATAACCAGTAACCTGTGGGATACAAAATGTGTATGATTTTGTAGAGACAGAAGTCCCTTGAGTGCTTCAGAGATATACAAATCTCTCAGCACAAAGGTGAAATTCCAAATTAACTTCAGTTTTATATCCATCTAACTCTACACCCCAAACTGGACTAGGTAAAGAAAGGTACCACAAAACAGAAAACCCATAGTTGATTATAGACAGAGCAGTTTAAGATTTCTTTATAAAGAATAAGCCCTGAACATTACAGTATGGTACAGTAATGATGAGTAGCAAAAAAGATGTTAGTGACAAATGCTACAGACTTTAGAGAAAGGGAGGTAGGTGACCAGGAGCTGAGAGAGATGGGGGGGGTATAAAATTGACCCAGCAGTTTTGCTACCACTTTCTGCCTTCTTTATCTCTCTGTAAGGAAAATCTTGCCCTGCCCTATCTGGAAGGATTCTGGGAAGACAGAGCAGACAGAAATGTGATGTGTATGTACCCTTGAAGGACAGGTTTCCATGTTACAGTCCTAAAGACAAAGCAGAAACCAACTACTGTCTCTGTAAAATCCACAATTAACCACCATGGAAAACAAGCTGTTCCACTTCATAACCTGGGTAAGGAGCAAAGTGATAATCCCTGAACTATGTAAGTTTTGAGGAAAATAAAACAAGAGTCAGTATTATTTCGCAGTGTCACAGGCTTAAGAGGGCTGATTGTTAGTTTGGGGATTCCCATTTTCTTTTTTAAGGCTCGTACATCTGGTTCAAGAATGGTACAAAGGTTCTATGACATATTTAAAAAATATATAAATGTGTATTTTTCCATTGTTTATTAAGCTAGATTTTTTTATCTCAACTAAAACAAGTTTCCACTGCATAGGTCCCTATGGGTGATTTCTACTGCCTTGTGTTTAATTAAGATTGCACTACTATGTGTACTTCAACATTTGTCAGAGTAAAGAAGAACAGATTTCACTGAAAACTTGTCATTTGCAATGAAAATGACCAAAAGGGGTTTGAAAGTAAGAGTTCAGTGGAAGAGATCTTTTAAAGTCACACAAAAAAGTAAATAAAATGCAGTGAATTTATCCTGAAGATATTAATCAGATGCTAAGATCTTAGTTTTTCTCAACTGATCCCAAATCCATACAGATCATTACACTGATGCATAGAAGGTAAAAGTTTAGTCCAAGTGTTACTACCAGTAAGTGGCAGAGCCTGGATAGAACTGAGCCCCTTGAGTTCTGGGCCTCTGTTTGGGGCTCCAAGGTCCTAGGTTTGGGACATGTATGTTCTCCCATAGTTCTTTAGTTAAAACTTGAAACTTGCCTGTAAAAAGGAATTCAAAGATGCATGGCAAGAGACATTCTGGTCTCTGAAAGACTTCTTTCTAGTCTAGAAAGTCCTGGACACGTAGGCACTGCTAAGCTGTATTCAGAGAGCCAGAGTTCCTTTTAAAACATGAAATACTCTGCTTTGTGGTATTCGAACAGGAGGGCAAATAGTCTTAAATCAAAGGCATCACATTAATGTTGTAAAAGGCTGTGTATATGGATCCAGCACAACACTAGGCACATAAAATATACTGGATTAAAAAATCATAAGAGATTACTGTCATTTTTGTTCCGAGATGATGCAACAGTCATAATTGCACATATACACAACTTTGGAACATATACATCAGTAATTTCTAAGATTTATGTTAAGAAACAAAATCAACAGAGAAATAAGCCTGGATATTGTGCAACTCACTCTAGCACAGTTCACTTTAGCAGCCCTTGCGTACTCCCAACAGCTGGTTATTTTTTTCTTTAGCTAAACTTAGAGTGTCTTTTAATCTGATTAGAGATCTTCCAAGCACATATATTACCATTAACGATGATGCAAAGATCAAACAGCATCCATCCACAGTGCATATATCTATCTTTTCAGCTTTTACACCAAGTCAAAACAGCCCAATCCTCACCATGACCAGAATCACAAAAACTGCTTTTATCACATTTACTATTTTTTAAAAAATCTGTTTAAAGCTTATCTCCCTAGTAAACATTTGGGGTAGTAATATTTGTCCCTATGTAGACTCATACAGCTCAAAACTAGGGTCCAGTGTCCTTCCACTTTACCACAGAAGATGGTAAAGAACAAGAGCCAGCCTTCTACTGGATCTGGCCACGGACCAACCCCACAGCCTCAGCAACTGTACCATAGATGTGTTTCTGATCACATATGGGTGATCAATCTACAGCCAACCTTTTACTACTAGAAAAGCAAAATAAGAAGCAGAGCCCACCAATGGCAAGAACATTGGTTCTGTATTTTGAACACAGTAACTGAGACAGTGGCTGTGAATACACGATCCTTATTTCTCTTAGTTGCAGAATTTTAAGGCTTCATAGGCACATTCAATGTGGCTGAATTGCCTAGGCACACAAAGGGGAACTGATAATTCTGGTGTAACAGAAGTGCTTATCTAGTACCCTTGGCAAAGCCCTGAACTCTTGGGTTCAACTTTCAGTCCTGTAATTGCTTTGCTTTCCTCATGAACCTCAATTTCTCCAATGGAAAAAGGAAGTGATAGAACCATCTCTCAGAGCTGTGGTAAGCAAAGCAAAACGTCCAGAAAGGCAGGCTCAATCGTAGTTGTCTACTTTCAACTGCCTTCTCTGCTCAAAACATGCTTTTTTACCCATCTTCTGCACTCTTGGGTCAAAATCTACTTATGAACACCTTATACAGCCTAGCCTACTATAACTCAAGTGTGACCCTCCTGTCTTATTTGGTTATAAGGCTCTGATGGTGTTAATATCCCGAATTTGATCTTGCTACTCAGTGTCACAGACCAGCAGCATGGCAACACCTGTGTGCAGAAGGCTGATTTTCCAGCCACCTAAAACCCACTGGATCAGAACTTATAAGGGGCCCAATGGTTGACTGGATGGTTATTTTCAATGTAGTAATTTTTGGCTTCTGGGATGCAACTCATAACAGACTGATGAGTAAAAGCCTTCTGCAAAATTGAATGTTTTCAACACAGACAAAGTTCTACAGCATATTTTGTTTCTAAGGTATACTTGGGATTTGCTGCATGTGACTTTCCCTCTTGAATCAACTTTCTGAAAATATTTAAAGTGTTTTCCTAGGTATTCATAAAAGAGAATACTTTTAAGGGCCTTGAAAGTAAAATTTATAACCCAAATTCCTAAAATGAATCACTAAATGCTGGAAGGGGGGAACTGGTAACTATGTATCAGGAAACTAAAACCAGTCTGAGTGAGTAATCACCATGATCAAAGATAACACAACCACAGCCAAGGCTTGGCGCAAACAAACGGTCACAGCAATCACATGTCAGAATCTTGTGTTTAATGGTTTCTCACATTTAAATGCATATGTCAGCTCTGTGAAACCAGGAAGAGGAACCCAGAGTACCACACAAATAATAAACACACTCTCTTGAATTTGGTATTCTTAGCCTTCTGCTCCAAGTCCAGTCCAACTCTGGAGTTGCAGACTAAAACAAAGGTGCTGTTTTGTCAAGAGGTAAGTAGAATCTTAATATGATAGGCTTCTGAAATATTTCATAAAGAAATCTAAATACTTTTCTGGAGGCCTACTTATTAAGGCATTTGATCCAACAGGAAAAAGGTGATCAGAAGGTCATAGATACCTTAAAATATGTAAAAGGCATTATAATAGGGTAATAAGCTGTAGAAGCAAGAAAGCCTGATATTGTTGTAAGCCATACATACTCTACACTCATTGCTCTTTTTCAGCCACTTTAAACTTAAAAGAGGAAAATGAGTGGGAACTCAGGCCACATGGCATCACCACAGACATGCTGCCTCCTGTACACCTTAGCAGACTCCTCCAGAGTGAAGACCAATGTCCTGATGTTCTTGTGACAGGGGACATATGCCAGGACTGAGCCTGTACTATACTGGCCAGGCATCATAGGGATAATACAGATATGTTTTTCAAAAGGAGTTATCTCCTATCAGCACCACACACCCACTAGCAGGCAGGTCTCCAGGGAAAACATTACTCACACAGTAGATTCTAATGAGCTCCTGTACCCACAACATAATCATCTTCCTCTGAAACACTGGAGGCCAGATGGGGCAATGGCAAAGAGCCTCATGAAAGCAAAGAGCTTTCACATGATCTCTTCCCAAAGAATTTAAGAACAAATGCATTATAATCTCTGAAATAAGAATAAGATAAAACACTCCCCTGAAGTCCCCATGTCTAACCCACTATTTCTATGTTGACACTACCTCATAATGAAGGGGATGAAAGGTGCCATGCTGAGAGCAGAAGAAGTGCCATCCATTGGGGAAGGATAGAGTCTCTCCAATACTAAAAGCAAGAGGAACATGCTTGGATGGCGATCTGGTTCTCCCACATCACTGAAAAAAAAGTCATTGTACAAAAAGATTTAAGATTTCAGAAGTGAAGCGCTATCTTCAAACACTTTTTCTCATTAAATAATTAGGTATACAAAGTGAGATGCTAAATAATTATAGAGATAGCTTTCCTTTTTTCCACTTTTTTCTCCATTCACTTCGTGGTTTCTTAATGTGCACTGTGAGGAAAGATAGGGACTATGCTTTTACACACATTCTCTTCTGAAAGCTAATCATTTGCTCAAGTAGAGCCTGCAGTTCCAGACTATGAAATGTGAAACTTTCTATGTCCACATGTATTTAAGGAAGTATGAACAGACCATCACTTGGTAAGGCAAACAAGGCCTATCTGGGCCAGCGATTTAGCTCGGGGCTTCCACTGCCTGCCTCACAAGTGCAAGGTCCGGAGTTCAATCCCTGGTATCCCCCCGCCCCCAAAAAGGCCCATCTGCACAAACTAGTAATGTGAGGAAATATATCATAAACTATAGTAAAATTCACTGGTACTTTATTTTCCCATTAAAGTTAATGTGTATATATTTACACAAGTGCAAAAAATTGCTGGGAAGGATATAAAAGCTCATGTTACAAGATGTCCATACTGAAAATTTCACTACCAAGTATAAAATGTGATCAAAAGGGCACTGCTGAATTTCCCTCTCTGCCTCATGAAGCCCTCTTACTGACTGTATTTCCAAGGTCAATGGCTATTTTGCTCAGGTAAAACATGACCATTATGATCACAGGAGATCAGATTAGTCAGCTAACTATGGTAATCTCACAATGATAAAATGCTACAATCTAGTAACAAAAAATGACAGGTATCCATTAGCAAACTCAATTTCCAAATGCACACTTTTAAAAAATATGAGGGAGAACGTAATTCTTAACAGAAGAAATCATCATGTACTTGTAAGAAGCTAGTTAATTCCACCTAAAATTGAAAACTGAATTAAATAAAATTTAATATAAAACAGTATTTTTAAAAATGTAACAAAAGAAATGAGATTTTACATAACTTTCCAGGTACAAAACTATGACAGAAAGCCAAGCAATGTTATACATTATAAAAGCACCATTTTTTCAAAGCCATCTGTGTTATACAGAAGAAATTGATTAAAAACTGTTGCCTAGAAGAAAAATCTTAACAAAGTACTTCACACGCTTGACTTTGTTTTGCCCCACCTATTTTCTTACCTGTCCACTGTATCAGCTACAGCTTCCAATTGTTTGAGAAGAAAGGGATAGAGCTCTGGAAATCGAGAGAAAAACTCTCTGCCTGTCATTCTATGGAGGAAGGAAAAAAAGACAAATTACTACCATATATTTCTTCTGATCTGTTAACAAAGTCTTTTTTTTTTTTTCAAGGAACATAACTAAAGCCATTGTTTGAATATTTAATGAAATAAAATTTTAAAAAATTACAATGTCTTAAACTTAACAATCAACTGATGTGATTCATATAATATAGATTTTTGGAAGTGCTCTTGATGTATGAACTTTTGTCTCCAATTTTAAAGTTATACATGTTTCCAAATGTTTGATATAAACTGTCAGGGAAGAAATATGCAACATGTAAAAATGCCAAGTTTGCACAATTGATTTAGACTATGAGTACAGTCAACATCTGATTGAGACTGACTCAGCTTCAGTGATAAGGGCAGGTCTAGAACAGTTTCCCAATTTTGGCACCAAGATAGTTTGAATCAAATAATTCTTTGTTTTGGCAGGAGGTGGGGGTGTTCTCCTGTGCTTTGTAGGATATTTAGCAGCCTCTACCCAACAGATGCTAGTAACATGATATTGCTCCCTTCAATCATAAGCCTATCATAATGTCTACAGACACTGCTAGCTATGCTGGTAAGACAAAATGGTCCCTTCTCTGGTGTATGGTAACCCGAAGTACAGACTTGGCCTGTGAGGTTCTGGAGGTTCAATTCTGGCTAATATCTAGAAGGATTACCTTTTCCATCTTTAGAAAAACTACTCTTGAACTCTCACAACATCCTAAAAATAGTTCCTTAGACTACACAACTGAAAAAAAGCTCAAGCTAAATTTAGCACTTAGGAAAGTAAACTGTCTCTGTAACTATTAAAGACCCACTCTAAAGAAAGGGTATAAAGATTCCCTAACCTGAGCACTTTTAACAATTCTAGATGTATACTCCTATTAATGAAGACCTAGAATATCACTTTAATGTGAAGCATATTTTACACACAGCAAATATAATATAATATAATAATATGTAATTTCTTGTGCCTGCCTTTTTCACAAGGCATAAAGTTGTCCATGTTATTTAAGATATCAATAACTGGCTTCTTTTTCTAATGAATAGTATGTTATTGTATGAATATACAAGTTTGCTTGTTCATTCATTGCCTTGTTGAAAGATATAAGCACTTTCCATTTTTTCGTTATTCAGAATACAACTACTATGAACATTCTTCTTCTTTTTTCCTCTCATTGAGTTCATTGGTACATTTTAGGTATACAGTACAGTTACATTCATCATTGAGAACTTGTACCTTTACATGACAGGTCTTGGTTTTCATTTTTTCCCCTTACCCCTGTCCTCCCTTCACCCCCTCTTCCCTTCCCTATTTACAAATACTTTATTTCCATTTTTTAATTTTCTCATGTTTTTTTCTTTTCCCTTATTTCCTTATACAAGTTTTTTTCATAGACATGTCTTCATTTCTTTTGGATTGATATCTGAATAAAACTGCAACATGTTTAACATTTTAGGAAACTGATAGTTTGCAAAATAGTGATATCATTTTATAGTCTCAACAAGAATACGTGAAAGTTCTGATGATTCTATATCCTTTCCAATATTTGCTGTTGTGTCTCCCCTTTCCGTTTCAGCTATCCTTATGGGTATGCTGTGGTATCTCTGTGATTCTGACTTACATTTCCTTGATAACTAATGATGTCGAGCACTTTTCATTTGCTTTGGTTGTAAGTATGGCCTTTTTGAAAACCTTATTTATGTATATAGTTATGTGTTTATTTGAGATAAAGTCTTGCTATGTAGTTCCTCTAACTCTATGTAGCCCAGGCTGGCCTCATGGCAATCCTTCAACCTCAGCCTCCTGAGCGCTGATGTACCACCATGCCCAGCCTAAACTTATTTTCTTAATAATGTCTTTAATGAGCAGAAGTTTTAAGGTTTTTTTTGTTTGTTTGTTTGTTTGTTATGAGACAGGGTCTCACTATGTAGTTGAGACTGACCTGGAACTCACTATGTAGCCCAGGCTGGTCTCGAACTCACAGCGATCCTCCTACCTCAGCCTCCCGAGTGCTGGGATTAAAGGCATGTGCCACCACACACCAGCTCTAGTTTTAAATTTTTGATGAGGTTCAAGAGTTAATCTTTTGTTTTTCCTTTTATGATTCATGCTTTTTAAGGCCTAAGAAATCTATTCTACTACAAGGTATCAACTCCTACAAAGTATCATGAGATTCAGTATACAGTGGAATACTAGAATATATGATCTTTAGAGTATCAAACAGCCCCCATAAGGATCTAGTCAAATATGGTGAATGCTTAAATAAAAAATGATTATATTAAAAAAAAAGAAATCTATGCCTACTTCAAAGTAAGAATGATTTTCTATATTTTCTTCCAGAAATTTTATAGTAGGAGTCTGTAATTGATCTTTAATTTTGGGGCACCAGGTGAGATAGAGGTCAAGGTTCTCTTATTTCTACAGTGGTCTATCATATTTTGAATACAATGTTCATTAAATAGGAGAGACACTATGTTCGTGGATTATAATATTTGAGATTATAAGGATGAAATGTTTCTCAAATTGACTGTAATTGCAATGTAATTCTAGTAAAAACAGTAAGTGTGTGCATGTGTATAAGTGCTCTGAAAAGGAAATCCTAAAATGCATATAAATTCACCAAGGCTAAGGCTAAGACCTACCAAGGGCTAAGTGTAAGAGAAGCAAAGATAAGAACAAAGTTGGAGGCTAGAGATAGTATCAGAAAATTGTAGTAGTTAGGACACTACAGAGACAAGTAAGCCCATAAAAGAATTGAGAGCAAAAAAAAAAAAAAAAAGGGGGGGGGCAGGGCTTTAGCTCAGTGGTTCTGCCGCCTGCCTCACAAGCACAAGGCCCAGAGTTCGATCCCTGGTACCAAAAAAGAAAAAAAAAAAAAAAAAAAAAGGTGGGGGGCAGGGCTTTAGCTCAGTGGTTCTGCCGCCTGCCTCACAAGCACAAGGACCAGAGTTCGATCCCTGGTACCAAAAAAGAAAAAGAAAAGAATTGAGAGCACAGAAACAGAAACACACAAACATGAAAATTAAGAGCTGAGATGGGAAATCACAGAAGAGGTGGTATGGCTACTGATTATTCAGATAAAACTGAATCTAATTCTCCCACTATATACAAAAGTAAATGCCACCAAATTCAATACTTTAAAACAGCTACAAGAAAAATACAAAATAATAATGCACAGAGGTTTTGGTCTATTTTGAAAATTTGGAATTCTGTCCTGACCATTCCCGGAGGAGGCTTCTTTTTATCCCAATGACAACCTTGGGCAGCCTACTTGATACTTGCTCTACGCAAACCCTTGCTAAAGGTGCCTACAAGGCTATTGTTCAGTAGAATTCTGTTCAGCAACCAGAAGTTTCTTGTGGAACTGACATGTTCTAAGTCACAAGGTAATGACCACTTGTTTGAGTACTCAGTTGATTGTTTCTCAGGTGGCCCATGTGGGACAAGACTGTCCTGTCCCTCTTGTATCTGACCGTTCCACAAAAAAGGCCTGGCTGAAATGCAGAATAATGGGGTGGCAGGTAAAGCTACAGCTACTGCGATGGAGACAACCAACTGTGTGAGGTGGATGGAGAAAAACCTTGTCAGCTGGGAAGGAACATCTTAGATCTGCAGAGGTACAACAGAAGGAGGAATAGTAATGATCTCTATTGCACTACAAATTTTCTCCTACAGCACTTGCAAACAGTTGCAAACATATTAAATTTTATTAACCGCTGGATCTGTCACCTTCCATCAGACAACTAAATGTAAGTACAATGTGACTGTCTTTCCCCTTAATCTTCCTGAGAAGTCTATCAGAAACTCTAAGTAATGGCCTTAGCTCCAGCTCTTAATCTTTCCAAGCAAAACAACTGTCAAGATACCTGCATATCTTCCCCACTTCTGTAGCCAACCTCCAACATTGCACAAGGCAACTGAGTGCCTCTCAGTTGTTAGTATGGGCAGAACAGGACAGATTGGAATGACTGCCCACAAGCAGTTATCTCCAAAACCAGACTAGAATCAATTATTTGAACTTAACTATCCCCTTTCCCTGAAAAATAAGATCTAGCTGGAAAATAATTAGCCTTGAGAATCAGAGATCAAAAACACCAGCCCCAGTCAACCTATCATTGCCTTACCTGCCTTACAGAGTAGCCACGGAGCAAGAGAATAGTGATGGCAGATATAGTAGCCACCAAGCAAGAGAACGGGAAGGCAAGGATACCTGCAATTCCAACTACTTGGGAGGCTGAGGTTCAAGGTCAGCTTAGTCAACATAGCAAGATCCTGTCTCAAAATAAAATAAAAAGGGACAGGGATGTCGTACAGTAGTAGAGCACTTGTCTGTCATGTAGGAGGCCTTGGATAGATCCCAGTACCCCATCATACACATGGGCATACAGAGGCGGGAGGAGGGAGGGAGGGAGACACACATACAAAATAAGGTTTGCAATGGCTAATACATTTAGAGGATTAAGAGTTTTGGCTATGTAGAAAGACAAATAGAAAAAATTCAAGAGAACACCATAGACCCTATTGGTTTTACACACTAGTGCAACTGACTGGCTAATATACGAAGATGTGACAACAGAATTATAAAACCATTTTATAATACCTGATAACAATAATGAGTACAGGCCAAGATTAACGATGAAAGCTAAAACCATCAGGCAAAAAGTTGAAAAGAAACTTTGTAATAAAGTGTCAAGATGACATACTCTGACATGAACTCACTGATCAATCTTAGCATTACTAAATATGGGGCCACTTTTAAAGCCTAATGCATTACAAAGCATACACACTACCTATAAATGTTCTGCCCTAAAGAAAACTCAACCTCAATATAATTAATTCTACAAATTTAAATACCATTGTACCAGATACATGTAGGAACAGCAGAACAAGTTAAATAATACTATAAGAAAACATTTAGTTATATCCAGATTCTTAAATATTCTGTATGGAAATTGATAAATTTCACCAATACTCTAATGGCAGAAGCTAAGCATAAA